GGTGTCGTCCCGGGGCCGGGGGAACAGGTCCAGGGGTGTCATCCCGGGGCCAGGGGGACGAGTCCAGGGCCTTCGTCCTGGGGCCGGGGGATATGGGTCTGGGGGAGACGGGTCCGGGGGTGTCGTCCTGGGGTGGGGGGACGGGTCCAGGGGTGTCGTCCTAGGGCGGGGAAACAAGGCCTAAGCGACACGCTCTTTCCTAACCGGTGCCTGGAGGAGCCCAGCCGGGCCGGGAAGGCAGCAGAGTGGGGCGATTCTGTCCCTGCACCCCACTCAGCCCAGCTCCTGGGAGCTACAACGGCTACTCTGCGGTCTCGGGGTTTCCTTCCAGGGCCTCTGAAGTGTGGCAAATGGTGTCCCCCAGATTCACATCCACCCCAACCTGAGAACGTGAGCTTACTTGGAAAAAGGGCTGCTGCAGATGGAATCAGTTAAGATCTTGGGATGAGGCCGTGCTGGCTTATCTGGGGGGGCCCGAATCCGGGACTGTGTCCTGAGAAGGGACAGACGAGCAGCCGCAGGACCAGGGAGGCAGAGGTGGGGGCCACACAGTCCCTCAGGGTGCCCGGCAGGAGCCGCCGCGCGGGCCGCACGAGGACCTCAAAGCCCAGAACTGAGAGGAGGGGCTCCCGTGATCTGGGACGGCTGCCCGGGACGCGGGCACGCCTCCTGCCTGCCCCTGCAAACACCTGCTGGCCCCACACGCTGTTTATGAGGAAAGATGGTGTCGGCCGTCCACCCGGCAAGTCCTGTGAAGGCCCAGAAGGCCGTGGAGACCTGGTTTCCTGGACGATGGGGTGAACTGTTGGTTCTCGGGGGCTTGCATCCTTCGCACCTTCTTTGGGCAGCAGTGCCCGATGTCCTGTGGGGGCTGGCCTGTCCCCACTGGTTCTGTCTGCTCCTGCTGGGGGCCCCGCTGCGCCACGTCCACTGAAAGCCTGGGCCAGAGCTTGAATCCTGATGGTTGGAAAAGCCCGAGAAGGGCTGCTGCTTGTGGGCTCCGTGGGCCCGCCAGCACCCGTCTGTCCCAGGGAGCTGCCACGTGCGGCCTGCAGGGCTGGGGCGGCCGGGGCTGGTGTCGTGCTCGGGGCCCCTCGTGGGAGGACCTGCTCCACCTTGACCCCACAGGGCTGATGATGCCGCAGGCGGGCACGGGTAGAAAGGAAGGCAATCTGAAGACACCGTGGACTTCAGTTCCTCATACACGTCAACTCTGGCCCGCAAATCGTGCCGCGCGGGCCACGCTGGGGCCAGGCCCTGACGGCAGAGCACTTTGGTACCGTGGTCCTCGTTTGTATGTGGGTCTACAGCTGTTCCACAACGTTTATTGAGAAGACAACAAAGGGGATGTTCGCGTACAGACACGGAATAGCCCCAAGTCACACGGTAACCGCCGACTGAGGAAGCTGGTGGGTGACGGGCCACCTCGTGCGTGGGGACGGCTGTGGGGGGCAGCCAAGAGCCCTTCGCCCGTGTGTGTGGAAAGGGTGTGGGACGGTGCACGAGTCAACCGACCGCTCATGCAGACACCCCAACGTTGCTGGAGCCGCCCCGGGCCGCCGCCGCCCGCCTGCGAGCTCGGGGCAGGGCACCCTCAGCAGCTCCCGTCTGGTTCTGGGAGTCTGGCGGAGCGTCGGGCCACAAGTGTGACGGCCGGACACAGGTCGTGGGGAGAATGTGCCACCCGGGCACGACTGCCGACCGCAAACAGGTGGGAAGAAGTTTTGGAGAACAATTTTATTGGCCCATTTGAAGAGCCTTAAAAATAATCCAGTAAAAATACTGCAAATTCATTATGAGAGAACCTTTTTAAGGGGGAAAACTCGACCCAACGCTGACGGCAGCGTCTTCCGAGGATGGCGTGTGGTCGGGGGCCCAGACCGGGAGGGCACAGGGGGTGTGGTTACCCCCGGAGCCTCTCCTGTCGCTGCAGCCTGGGGTGGCCCCAGCGCAGAAACGCGCACCACACGGCCTGCGCCAAGCCCCATGTCCCCGTATTTCCGTTGCAGCAAGTGCGGGTGTGGGAGCTCAGCAGGGGCCTGGCAGGTGCCCCGCGTGCGTCCTGCTCCGTCTGCGCGTCCAGAGGAGGCGTGGTGCGCGGCCCGGACGCAGAGTCCCCCGCGCGTCCCCACGGCACGTGCCCGTCTGGGTGGGCTCTCCGGGGCGCGCCTGCTCGCGTCTGTGCAAAGCTGTGGTACCCCGGGCGTGAGGCGGCCCTGCCGCGCTCCCAGACGCCGCGTCCCACGGGGTCCAACGCAGGCGCTGCTGGGGACACGCGCCCCACGCTGAGCGCCACGGCTGTCCTGCTGCATCGGCCCTGGCGACTCCCCCCCCCACACTCGCTTCTGCCTCCTTTAGGGGGAAACGACACAGCCGAACGTGAACAAGCAACGAGGGACAAAGCAGGTTTGCCGGCGGCTCGCACGGGCCTGCCCAGGGCAAGCTATCTACAAAAGCAACGTCTGCACATAAAAACCTGCAACCAAAGACAAGGGACAAATTGGAAGAAAATTATTTAAAAATAAATCGTGTGGAAAGGGCTCACCGGAACATTCAGAGCGCCAGGACCCAGTAAGACGCTCGAGAGTAACGGCTGGCCAAGGGACAGAGTCTGCTCGGCAGAAGAAGATACACACGGACGTTTCCATCTAAGAGAAGCTGCTCGTCTCACCCCTAATTAAGAGATGACGCAGCAGAGCCAAGTGTCTGAGGTCACACCGCCCTGGGGCGGGCGCGCGAGGGCGCCGACGGGGTTGGGGAGGAGCCTTCCGGACAGCAGGTGCGCCCATCAAACTCAAAGCTGCGACCTGTCCCTGCACAGCCGGGGACGCGCTCTGCAGAGAAAGCCGCCGTCAGGCCGCAGGCTGAATCCAGGTGCATTCCGACGGGGGCACCAATATGACCGATGAGAGGAGACGGGCCCGTGAGCCACCGCGGTGCGTCCGGAAGGCACGGAAGACGAAGCAGGGAGCGCCGCGTGAGGCTGACCGGTGTGCGGTGGGCGGGGACGCCTTCCTCTGCTCTGCACCCCTGCCCACCCGCTGGGGGCCCCCCAACGACCCGCCGCCCGCCCCTCCCTGCCACCCGGGGCAGAAGGAGCTCCGGGGAAGCGGGCGGACTAGGCCACAGGGACTGGGCTGCGGGCACGGCGGGGGGGTGTGCGCGAGCGGTGCCATGCGGGAGCACCAATCCGAACCTCGGACGTCACCGGGCGGCAAGTCTGTACGAATGGTGGTCGGACTAAGACCCAGACCAGGAACAGCCTCTCCCGTGCGACGCAGCTTGCCGGCACCCACAGTGGCCCGCGAGTCCCAGGACAGACGACAAATGGTGAAAACACACAAGCCAAACAAGGAAAAAACCGCCCCACAGTCGCTAGCTAGAAAAGGTGTTTTCCTCCCATTTTATTTGATAATACATTTTCACAGAAACATGATATTATTTACAAATATACAGGTAAGAGACTGCTGGTCAAAAATCTTAAACTGAAAATGTCATCAAAAATTAATTTACAAAAACCACCAACTGCCCAGGGGCGTCCCTGGGGGAGAATGTGGACGGCGTTGGATGGGTCTGTGCACGCGGGAGCTGCTTGGCTCTCCGGCCCCACAGCCCGGGCGCTGGGCCAGCACGACGCCCGCGTCTCAGGAGGCACTGGTCTGCATGTTCTTGGAAGCGGCGAGCATCGCCCTCACTTTGGCCATGAGATCCTTCATGGAGAGATGCACGGGGTCCCTATGGCTTCCTGCTCAGACCCGGCACGCGGACCGCGGGTACGGGAGTGCCCCATGAACGTGTCGGCGGGAAGGCCCGTGGGGACCCCGCAGCCCTCCAGGGTCAGGGCCCACCGGCGGGGCCGAGATGGGGACCCCGAGGGAAAGCCAGCCCTCTGGAGGCGGGGGGAGGGGGCGCTTTACCTGAGTTATTTTGCTCTGCACGGAGGAGACAATTGCCGAGGAGATCTGGCCGTCTTTTTCCTGAGAAACTCCCCTGAGTGAACAGAGAGAGGTCACAGGCTTAAAAATACTTAGACGCATTGTCGTATTTGTTACTAGTGTCTTTCAAGAAGAGATCGTTATAAATATACATTTTGCTTTCACATTTCACGTTACAGAATCTGAAATATTTTATAAGGTGCAGCCTGACTCAGAGAGTGTTTTCCCGTGAACACCCTGGGAGCCAGACGTAGTGAAGATGAGGACGGGACAGAAGCTGCAGAAGGCTGGAGCTGCACGGAGCCGCCACCCCGCGGAGGGCCGCGTGCCGGACTCTGGCCTCCGAGGCCGCCACACGCACTATCTACCTGCACCCTCAAAGAAGCCACGGCTTAGGGTCTTAACCCCCTCTGGGAGCTGTGCGCCTGCTACTTACGAACCCGAACTTCAGGTTCGGGCCCCTGACCCACACTGATGAAGGCAGCGGGTCCGTAACCAACAGCGAGGCAGCCTCGCTCCGAACCGCCGCCCAGGTCTGGGTGGGTGAGCAGCAGGGGGACCTGGCAAATGCTTCCTGACAGCCCCGGGCAACGGGGACGTGTACATCAATGGCACCGGCCAGGCTGCTCACGTGACAGTCAGCTGTGGACTCTGATGTCACCTGGCCTGCTCTGTCAGGCGGTGCTGGTTCGACCCCTGCGTCCTGTGGCCTGGCGTGAGTGGTGACTGACCCCCTTGCCTGCATTCCCCGTGATCACGCCGGGCCCTGCAGCTGGGGCCATGCCGCCCAGACGCCCTCACCGAGGACAAAGGCACCATGTCAGTGGTTTCAGGACGGCTGCCGTCAACTAAGGCACCATTTCCCAGTGGGTCAGACAGTGGGGAGTCCTCTAGTCAGCGTCCGGGGAGGGGGCCAGCCCACTCCAGGGACCAACACCGAGAGGACCGGCTGTTCGGGGATTCCCGCTGCCTAGAGCCGGGGCCTGGGGGCAGCTTCCAAACTGGCGCTCCGAGGCCAGAGCCCAGTTCTGCCCAGTGGCACACGAGGAGCACGTGGGGGGCGGGCACGCCCAGGCCGGGCTCAGGGGGCGCGTACCTGGAGCGCTCCTGGCTGGAGCCCCGACTCTCCACGGGAGAGATGCTGGCCGAGTGGGCCGTGTGCCGGCGTGTGGCCTGCTTGCTCGGGGATGCCGACTGGGACCCGGCCTTGGACTCGGTCCGTGACCGTGAGCGCCTCTTCTTCTTCTTCTCGTGGGGGCTTCTGCAAGGAAAGTGGTTTCAGACAAAGATACGGCAGGCTCTGGAAGGAGGAGTTTCGAGTGTTTTCCAAGGGACAGCTGGTGGGTTTGGCTGCCCGTTGTGCTAACTCCTTCTAAAAGCCATGCACGGTTTATTTAGCTCACAACTGACAGACGCAGCAAAGTCACACACAAGTGAAGGAAGGCCACCCCCCGTAGGAGGTCTGTCCCCCGTCTCAAGAAGCCTATGGGGTTTGAAACACGGTCAGCACTTTATCTGCATTTAAAAAAACCTAAGGAGAGTAACCAAGTGCTGTTCACTCCGTGTCCATAGACGTGACGAGGACTCTAAGCAAGAGATGGGGAGCATCACAGCCGAGGGCCGCGCACACAACAGCTCCAGCCCCCTGACCTACACTTCCTGGGACTGCAGAGCCCGTCCCCGCTCGCCCAGCGGCTGACTGCCCACATTCCCTTCCAGACCCCAGCCCGCCCCCCACGCCCCAGCACGCGAAGCTCCAGCGCATGCCCTGCCCTGTGACCCTCCTGTGACTCCCCAAAGAACATTTAAGAAAAAAAGAGAACATATACAGGAGATAAGAGTGACGTGTGGTCCAGACTGGCGCCGGGCCTCCCTGCTCGTGGCCCCTCTGCTTCCTCCAAACATGACGGTCCCCTGCTTTTTGGAAACTGTGCCCCATCACACATGACGGATGGGTGACTGACGGGCAACCCCGTGAACACTTGCTGTAGGGTCTGTGTGTGGTCAGTGCCGTCCTGAGACCATCACAGGTGCCCATGTGGGTCCTGTGGGTGACGGGGCCTCACAACGGCGGGAGCCTGCATGTCTTCACGGAGTTAGACGTCCAGGGCCAGCCCCGCACAGCCCCCTCCGCTCGGCGCCTCACAGACAGACCCTTCCGCACCTGGGGACACCCACGGCCTGTCCATACGCCTGCTCGCCCTGCCCTCGGGGCTCCCCACGGTGCTCTTGCGCAAAGGCACATGTGCGCCCCGATGAAGCCACGGGACACTGCAGCGGGGCACGGCTTGCAGCACCCCGACTCCGCCGTGTTCACAAAGGCCGGCCCGCGGGGCACAGCCCGGCAGCTTCCACTTGGCCGGCACGGAGAAGAAGAGGTCCATAAACGCAGACGCTGCTCCCAGTGCTGGACACACAGACGTGGAAACCACGCCACACCCCTGGTTTCTAAACTGCAGAAGCTGGGTGCAGTCTTAGGTCTGTAAACACATGCTAATTTCAGAAGCAGCAGCAAAGATACACAACTATTCCGCAGCACGGGACAGCCGTGCAAGTCCGGCGAGTCTGTGGCTGCCCCCGTGAACGCAGGAGCCATCCCGGCTACGCGCCAGGTTCAGTCTGAATACAGCTACGTCACACGACAAGCCTGCCTCGGCGTTCGCTTCAGGAATTAAGGGACTTGTTCCTCTAAAAACAAGCGAGGTGCACCTCACATCCAGAGAAACAGGACGGTTTTAAGTGCTGTCGGACGCATGATGACAAGTGTTGACACCGTGACACCCCCACTCCTCTCATCAGGAACACCACCTTTCTAGAAAGTTCCGTCCCTGCTGCCTCCGGTCATGCGGACCCCCTTCCCCACGGTCACAGGTAACCATGGCTCTGATTTCTGCCCCATCGATGAAAGCTTCACGGAGGCAGAATCACGCAGCGCCACGCTGCCATCACTCGTCCACGCCGAGCCGTGTCCCCAGCTGGCTTTCTGCTGCCGAAGCGTTAGTGTGTGCAACCTGCCAGCATGTCTGTGCCCTCTCCCGGGAACAGGCGTGTGCGTTGTCCATTGCGACAACAGATCAGGTGCTTCTGTGGACAAATGTTCCTGGCGGGTGAACGGAGATGGACCGTGGGGTGGCGGCGCTGGTGCTCGGCGTCACAGGAAGCCGCCCTGCTGTTCCCGGCCCCCTGCAGCCCCCGTCGCCAGCCCCACTGCGGCCACCCTGTGCTGAACCCGGCAGGGGCTAGTGCGCTCGGCTGCTCTTCGGGGCCGTGTCCGCGGGCTACGTCCGTGGACCGCTTCGTGAACTTTCGAGTCACCCACTCGCTCCGCAGCCGGGTGGTTTCTGTCTGGAATCGACATAGGCCCTTGTCAGAGACACGGCGAGGGTTCCCGGTGTGCGGTCCGACTGTTCACGCTCTTCGCCGTGACTGAGTGAAGGTCAGCAAGCTCACGCTCACCACTCTCCTCCCTCCTGGTGGGGTTTCCACATCCGCGGGACCTTCAGCCGCAGTCTGTGACCCTCCGAGTTAAGCTGTGGCCTGTAGAACAGGCCACTTTCTTCCGCTTGGACAGCCAGCTGCTGGAGCGGGTTTCGCTGCAAAGCTCTCCTCCCCGAGCTTCTTGGCAACCCTGCCATTTTAGGGCGTCCGCTCACGGTCTTACCCGGCGGTTCCCTGTGAGTCCGGAATTGGCAGGAAGCGGCCTCCAACCCTATTCTTCTGCGAGACCGTTGTGGCTACTCCAGGTCCTCCATGTTTCCACATAGACGAGAGTTCCCGATCGCCCATTTCTACAAAACACCTGTGGAGTCCTGCTGGGGCGGTGCTGCATGGACAGGTCACTTCAGGGAGAAGAAACCTGAGGGACACTGCTCCCCCATCCACGAACACGGGCTCTATGTGTTCTTACGGTTCTTAGAATTCTTCTCAGAAATGTTTGTGGCTTTCAGTGTAGTCGTTTCCCCGTAAGTAGCTTGTTACTTGGATACGGTCGCACGTCACCTTCCCAACTGTTCCAGGCTGGAATGCAGAAGGAAACGCTTCCTTTCCAGTCTTTACGCCTCTCCCCTGTTCTCGCCCTGCTGTCTGGGTCACCTGGCTGCTGGTCCTGGGGCGGCGAGTGTGGCCCCATCACCGCCAGACGCTTCCTTCCATTCCCTTAGCTCAGGGCTCCGTGTCGCCCTGTTTTCTTTTTAGTGAACGGTTGAAGAGCGTAGCCAACAGCTCTCCTGCGTCTGCTGGGATGTCCTAGGACTTTGCTCGTTTACTCTGTGAAAACAGTGAATGACGAGGGTCGCTGGTGGACGTTAACGAAACTCGCAGTCCTGACACTGAGCTGCTTGTCGGACGCGTCTCCTCACACCACCCTGCTGGGCGCAGATCGCAGGGCGCTCTCTAGCATCTTTGCAGCTCTGTTCTTCAGCGTTTCGGTTTGTGAACACCACATGCGCCCCGTGCCCGTGCGCACACCCCTCCCGACGTGGCCACGCCCACCAGCCCACGTGCTCTTCGGGAGCCACCGCCACGGAGCCCAAACTGGTCTCTCTTCTCCCCTGAATGTTTGTTAGAACTTAACGATGGAAGCCATCTGGGCCTGGAGTTCGGTGGTTTTAAATGATACAGAAATGCTTTGGCAGAAGCGGTTATTTAGATTTTCTATTTCTTCTGCTGACAGTGTGGTCACTTGTATCTTTCAGGAATTTGTCCATTTCACCCAAGTTGTCAACCTAATTAGAAAAAGATTTTATTCTCCTTTTAACATCTGTAGGCTCTTTCATTTTTTTTTTTTATTATTTAAGATTTTATTTATTTATTTGACAGAGAGAGACACAGCGAGAGAGGGAACACAAGCAGGGGGAGTGGGAGAGGGAGAAGCAGGCTTCCCG